GCGCTTGGCCATGGCGGCCAGCAACTACAATCCCGCTTGTGATCAGAGAAAATGCGGAAGACAACTGGAATCAAACAAAAAACCCTTCTGAAACCTTTCTGCGAAAAGCACAAAAACAACGAAACCTTGTAAATACCATTAAAAACCATCCCTGGAAATGAACCCGTCGGGATATATATATATATGGATATATGTATATACCCTATGTTGCAGGTGCAGATGTCCTCCATAGCCCAGCTGCAGGCCGGTCGCTTCAAACAAGCCTCACTTCAGACGCCTGAATGGGGTTTAGGCTTTGTGTTTTACGGTTTAGGGCTATAACCCGAAACCCTAAACCCCAAAGCCTACAGCCTAAACCTTGACGCCTAAACCCTAAACCTTATACACATCCTTCAGCCCTAAACTCATCAAAGGGGTTACTTGGGGACATGCACTCATGTATCGATGAAATTGAAACTGGTGTTGTGCACGGATATCTCGGGTCTGCGCTGTAGAAAATGGAATATAAACCACTATTGTTCCACATACTCCGTGTGTCACCATGCTATATTATACCCCAGACTCCCATTTTGTTCATTTCGGCACCTGCAAATAGGACAGAACCGCTGAGTGTCGAACTTTCCCGTGTAATGGTACGGTCACTCTCGGCGGTGTTTGCAAAAATGGGGATGAGTAATCCTGTGTTGTAATGATTGTTCTTTGGAACTGCGTTGAGCGTTGACATTTCTTGGAGGGAGGCTGTGTTGAGCGGAGTTGTAACCTTGAATCCTAAACCTTATGTTTCTTTGGGGGTTCCCACTTTGCTACCTCAGGAGGAAAGTGCAGCTTTGAGCAGAAGCGTGACGTCACTGCAGGCAGGCCGCTCAGTCTTTTGCAAAGAGGCTGTGCGCGCTTCTGAAATGGGTACCGCTTGGGGTTGGGGTTCCTCTACCAAGGATCCTGGTATGTTGGGGGTGTACAGGTCGGTTTGGGTTTAAGGTCTAGAGGCCTGGGGTTTAGGGTAAGTTGTGTTTAAACAGAACCGTTGAAGCAAAAAGCGAGTAGTGATGGCGCCGATCCCACCCACAGTAGTGATACAGCGGAACAGCAAAGGAGGGTGGTAGCCATGGATTTTTTTCCAACCCTAAACCCTCAGACCGAAGCCCGAAAATTGAAATCCTAAGCCCTCATCATAGGGGCATACAGGGATATAGATTCATATATTTTTATGTATATGTATATGTGTTTATATGGGCACTGAAAGTATATTGGGAACCCTCAGCCCTAAACCCTACTGAAACCCAGGCTCTAGACCCGAACCATATTTCAACTTTGTGGAGGCCTCCCAGAAAGCGCACAAGTCTGAGCTGCAGCAGAATGTCTCCGACGCCTTGAAGAGGACTATGAATTTCTGGGTTTAGGGTTTAGGGTTTGGGGTTCAGGGGTTGAGGGATTAGGGTTTAGGGGTTGAGGGATCAGGGTGTAGGGTAGGTGCAGGAATCACGTTGACAGACTCCCATTCTCCAAACGCTACACCCGTAGCCCGGAACCCCACAGCCTGACTAAACCCTATGCTATCCCCATATGCCCACAAATCCCTTTACATTCGCCGTGCATATCTTAGATATCTCTATATATGCTTGTATGATTTACCCTAACATGTAAGGTGCTCACCACCCATAAACCTAAACTCTCTACCCTACATTGCCCTGTGTAATCCTTACACATCTGTGTAATCCCCACCCTAAACCGTTGACCCTAAACATGCATAGTCCCCCTTAAGTAGATTGAAGATGGCTGTGAGTATATTATAATAAGGTCCCTATTTATCCCATATTCTATCTACTTAATGGAGACTACATACCCCAAACCCTACACCCCTAAACCCTAAACCCCTAAACCCTAAAACCCTAAACCCTAAATCCCCTAAACCCTAAACAGTGACCCGAGGACCTTGGCCACTTTCGAGGAGCCCTTGGAGCAGATGCGAAGCGGCTTGCGCCATCAGAGTCAGGCCTCTTTTTGAGCCTAAGGGTAGAACTATGGGCCCCTAATTTAGGCTTTAGGGTTTAGGGTTTAGGGATTAGGGTTGAGGGTTTAGGGTTTAGGGTCTAGGGATCTTTAAGGGGTACATATAGGGTATATGCTAGGTATATAAGGATCCCAGGGTTAAGGGCCCATACTAAGGGCCCATGGTTTCAACCCTAAATTGAGGGGACATACAGGGCATATGCAGTGATGGGGACTATAGGGGATTCAATAGGGTTTAGGGTTTGGGGTTTACGGTTTAGGGTTTGGGGTTTGAGGTTTGGGGTTTAGGGTTTAGGGTCTGGGGTTTGTGGTTTGGGGTTTAGGGTTTAGGGTCTACACTCCTTACAGTGTTTTTTTTTGGGATTATATAGGGGACGATTCTGGGGGTTAGTAAGCGGGATGCTAGGAGTTTACGCCACAGCTCATATAGGATATAAGGGGGTAGGGGAATATTAAGGAATACGCAGGAAAATATAGATGTTTTGAGGGGAGATATAGGGGTTTAGGGTTTAGGGATTTAAGATTAGGGGTTAGGGTTTGGGGTTTAGGGTTCAAGGTTTAGGGGACATATTATGGATGTCCAGGGATTTATGATATACGGGAATCTGTAAGAATATAGGGGCATAGGGTTTAGGGTTGGGAGCTTTCAGGTCCGGGGGAGATGCGGAGACTATTCTGACGGCCCAAATTATGGGCTACAGAATTCTTCGCGGAAATTCTACTTTAGGACTTTAGGATTTGGATGCTTGAGGGTTGAAAGTTTAGGATTACTGGTTTAGGGTTTCAGTGTTCAGGGTTTGGGACTTTTTGACGTGCACAGCTCTTGGAGAGGTAGGCTCTTGTTTTGCTTTAGGCGTTTCCGGTTCAGTATTTAGGCCCAAACCCTAAAGCCTAAACCCTAAACCGCTTTCAGGTGTAAAGCCTTGGTGGTTTCAAGCAGCGCTCTTCTTTTGCCAGGTGCTGGTGAAAGCCCGAGCGGAGGTGTCCCGCGTGCTGGATGGTGTGGCACCCAGATTCGTGTTTTGTCATGAGTCCGCAATCAGTGGTGCAGCTCTAAAGTTATGGCAGAATTGGGAATGCTAAACACTTGGGTGGAAGATCTTGCCAGCAGGCTCACAGTATAGGATGGGGTCCCAAAGGGGAGTGGGGCACTCCAACGACCCTAAGGATACATGAGCAGGAAGTATGGAAAGGGCTGAGTTAAGTAGCTGACCCATCGAAATACAAGTGGCTGTGAAGTATACAAGGAGTTTCGATGAATGTTGAAAAAGGGATGATAAGGAGATCATGGGGGTCCCCTTGGCCCTGCAAGGATTATGTAAGGCTTTTTCTGAGAAACTGCCAGGATAGGGTCCGGAAAAGGGATGCTCAATCCCTCAACCCTAAACCCTCAACTGTTAGATTGCCCTGGCCTTCCGCCCTCTTGACGCTGCTTTCGTGTGTTCTGAGACTTGGCCGCGGCAACTCATCGTGCAGCCGCGGCAACGCAGGTGCATAGGGTTTTTGAGGACGACGCGGCCTTCTGGAAGTTATATTGGGGGATTGAGAGGGAGACCTAGGGACATGTGGACATATGTAGGGAGTAATGATATAGGGATATCTGGAAGCCATTGAAACAAGTTTTTTTAAAGGTCCTCCAAATTTTGTAAAACCAGTTCTTACCAAGGTTCAGGCAACCTGAGGTATTTGTGGGATGATACACTCTTAGGGTTAGGGGATTAGGGTTTAGGGTTTAGGGGTTAGGATGAGGGTTTAGGGTCTAGGGTTCCGGGGGTGCAGATGGCAGATTGCAGGGATTGCGCAGCAAGGCCTCATGACATGCGAGCAGAGCTTCTGCTGCAAGGCTTGTTTCAGGTTATGTAATGCTTATGCGGTGTCCTGGTATGGTAGTTTCCATAGGGCCCCAACATAAAACCCGTAATGATATACTGCCTCTTATGGGGATCCCCAAAATGGTACCCCTAATTTTGGGCAACCCCCTTGTAGGGATGTGCAGGGATGTTGCTTGTGGCGTGAGAATTTCTGGGAGAGTGCTTGGAGGTTAATAAGTAGGTCAACAAAGGGGATAAGTTGGGATAAGTATGGTTGCTATATGGGTTATAAGGGCTACTAACCTTCTTTATGAGTCGCCTTGTCCCTCCAAGTGATGTAGGCAAGCCCCGCCCACATTTTGGTGTATACTTCCCTCGTTTCCCCTTACTGTGCAGAAGCTACCTACCCTCTGGCCTTAAATCTTAAATCCTAGACCCTAAACCCTTAAACCGATAAAACCTAAATCCTTAAACCCTAAACCCTTAAACCCTAAACCCCTAAATCTTAAACTGTAATCCTTAATCCCTAAACCCCTAAACCTGTAAACAATCTGTGGCCCTTGGACAGGCGCCCAGCAAAGAAGCTCCTGTCATCAGTGCGGAGCTTCAGGACATGGGCTTGCCTCGCTCGTTTCTTTGGGGATACTATGGTACCCGCTATAGAGTAAGATTCTATCCTCCTTTTGGGGTATAGTATTCTATATAG